TTTCTTTCGATATTTTGAAAGCATTGTTATTCTCGTCCCACGTCCAAACACCTTCTTTCTTTAACAAGCGGTATTCTTGAGTGGCTATTACAGAAATATTTGCAGAAAAAAAAGATGATAGAAGTTACAAATGTCTAAAAACATCTGTAGTTCCTAAATCGTAGTAGGCTTGGGCAAGTCTTGGAAGGATCTAGTCCGATACCATTGCCAGACACCTAATACCCGAAAGACTCGGCTTCTGTGACTAATAATTGGCACTTCTTGATACTGATCTTGAGGTTTCATTTCACTAGTGTATTTAGAATCTTTGAGATGTGTACCATATATTCTGTTTCGGTTGCGTAATAAGTCAACTCATCGTCAATGCAAATGGTAGTGAAATCCAGCTAATAAAAGATTTGCTGTATGAGGCATTGTGAAATGGCTGGGCAGTTAGTAACGCCTAATGGCATTACGAGGAATTCAAAAAGACTCTTCTCCGTGGAAAATGTAGTATTACATATGTCGCCTGGGCTCGTGGGAATCTGTCAATAGCCGTACTTGAGATCTAGTGTCAAGAAATATTTGGGATAAATCGCCCTGTCTAATAGATCATCAATATGTGGTAAGGGGAACTAGTCTTTGCGGGTCACATCATTTAGTGTTTCATAATTGATGCAGTATCTTAGAGTATTACCTGGATTTGGTACTAATATTAGCTGGGAGCTTCATGAACTATTACTTGGCCAAATAACCCCTTTTACCAACGTTATCTTCGTTTATGTGCTCAGGGCTCAGGGCTCAGTTCTCCGCTGCTGACTGTCTGTAGTCTGAGGAATGAATAGGAAGACTGCTACCAGATAGATACTAGCTGCGCACTGGTGCATTTGTGATGGTTTGTTTTGGGCTACCATTGTACAGTTCAGGGTATTTTTTTTTGCAATGCACTTGGTTTTCAGGGAAGAGTAAGAATCGTGTTAGTACTATTGCTACTGACCGAGCTTCCGTCTTTTCTCGTATCTAGAACCTTATTCACAGTGTCGAGTACCTTTCCATGCTGCTTTGGTTTTTTTTTGGTATTGAGGAACTAGTCCTGATATTTATTGTGTGTTAAGAAAGAAATACAAATGTTTTTGGAGTTTTCTGAGGGGTTTTAAGATTTAGAAATAAAAGCCCAAGGAAAGTGTATTTTAAATCCAAGTCAGAGAAGATGTGCGAAACAATGGTGTCTATTTTAGAATTAATCGAGGAGATGTGAAAAGACCGGATGTCGAAGATAAAGCTTCAGTGAGTGCACCACAGGGCCAAGGTGCTGCTGCTAATAATTTGACATGGCCGAACATGGAAGACAGGTAGTGGGTGGTCAAGGATTTCCAGAGAGAAGATTGTGGGATGAATATCAAATGTCAATGGGGACAGTCCAAATTATTATTATTTTCAGGGTAGCTTCCCATACTGTCCACTTCTGTGGGCACTGGTAGAGGACACGAGAGAGAGTGTCTACCTCAGACAAGCAAATGGGACACTTTTTAGTGACAAATATGGTCGGAGCACGGTTGTATAGGGTGTACTGACACGACAAGGAGTTGAGTATAGAACGATAGCATATGTTGCGGGAGGTGTAATGGGAGTGGAAAGCCCCAAAATGAACGCCATTGTTTAGCTTGCAAAGGGAGGAGTAAAACTAATAGCTTGTGATTTATTATCAAAGGATTAGCTAGCAGTTGCAACTCAGGGTGGTCATTGGGAGGCAATGTAGCGCGCCAAAGGAAAGGCGTGAGCTCAGTAGCTGTATTTTCTATATCCTGAAACACCCTATCTATCAGACATGACAATTTAGGCCGTTGAACTTGCGTTTGGGAGGGGATAGCTTAGAGGCTCTAATCAAACATAAATGCACCAGAAGCATTAATGCGCTTCCAACCAGAGGTGTTAGGTGCAGAAGAAGCTGTGTAGGTTACACCATCCAGCAGCTTCAGAGAAAGACAAGTGGTGCAGCTCAAAGTGAGAAGAGAAAAGTTTCATGTGATAGAGTCCATAGCACACATGAGAGTGGAAAGTGCACCATTCTTTGTCCTTAAAGATGTGATTCGCAGTTTGCAACCAACAAATGAAGGCGAGGGTCCCCAAAGGACTTGTGTGGATCGAGAAAGTGCTTTATTCAAGGGGTGACAAAGGATGCCGATGTTTAGTTGTCAAGAATCGGTTGTAGCTATTGCATAGTCAGTACTTTCGGTTGAATCTGCGAGTCCAACACGCCTAAGCCTTTTTGCAGTTTCTGAAAACATAGAAGACAGGATCGCCATAGAGAGCATATTCCGCCGGAGGAAACGGCCTAAAATGGAACAGAGTTTGTCGAAGAACCTTTTGAGGACAGTTTTTATTCGAAGAGCATGCCAAACACAGGAGAGAATCAACGTGTTCACGACAGTAGCTCGACATATGACCGAGCGTAATCACTACAGGCGCATGCTACAAGACGATTTGACTGTATTCGGAAGTGAGGTACAGAATTGATCTCTTTGTGTGACAAATGATATCAATGGAAACCCTAAGTACTTGAGAGAAGCTGGATAAGTACGATCATGTCATAAGGTAATAAGCTTTTGCCGTAGGTGTGTGCGCCACTCTGATAGTGAGGCACCGGACAAGGAAAAGGCTTGTGTCTTGTGTATGTTAATTCGTGCATTTGAAATTCTTAAGTATCCAGATGTCTGTGTAAAGTGCCAAGGTCAGAAGGTGACTTAGGAAATATGAGAGTGTCATCCGCGTAAGCCAAGTATTTGACTGGTGGTGGTGAGGGCTGGTCAGTGTGGTCGTCGGTGGATAGACCAAATCCTGGAAGAGAGCTATCGGCGGCTGGTAGGCGGAGCAAAGGTTCGAAAACAAAGTTGTACAGAACAGGGGACAGTATATCACATTTTTGAGAACTCGACTTTGTAGAATTGACGCCGACAAAAAACCGTTGACATTGATTGACATACTAGTGGATAAAAGCGATTATGGGATACAGTGCACTATCGTGTCTAGGAACCAGAATTTTTAAAGAACTAGTCTCGAATACTCGGGGTGTACACGATCATATGATAT